TTTTCAGTATCTTGGAATGTCGATGTATGTGTGAGTTGGAGTGATACTTTGAAGTATTGTGTGAATGGATGTTTGGCTATGAGTATTAGTAATAATCATAGTCTTCTAGAACCATGATGAGCTACCGCAAAGCCATCTGAGATAAACTTGAATGAGAATCAGCCCGGTGGTTACAGAACCGGAAACTTAGAACGTAATAATGATGGATTCACAACCAACCTTAGTAAAGAGAATAGAGATACCACGTGAAAAGGAGAAATTTGATAATGTTATAAATCTGAGGTGACATTGTTTGTATTGCTCGTTTGAAAAGGGTAATGGACATTGTTATCGTGTAAAGTTTGTACATTATGAAAAGGTGTTTGATGATTAAACTCATAAATTAGAGTTTCATATAGTACATCATTGTACTTTAGATACTACAAGCAAAGTTGAATACATGCGCATTGTAGATTAATTTTCAAAGGGTACATGTATTTCAACACAATCTTCAATTACATCGCAATTAGATTTTGAGTCAGAGCAAATGATTTTTTCAGGACATTATCCGCAACGGTTGACTAAATATTTTAGTTCTAGAATGAGTGTACACATACAACAGAGTTATCATTTGAGGTTTGTAGACTTTCTAGTCACTTTCAACAGTGCTTTCAATGTGTGTTGCAACAATGATTTTGAGATGTTCATTCGTGGGATCAACTCTAGCTACAATCTTCCTTCAAGAGAAGAGTAATCTTGGACATACTGTTACAAAAACGTTCATTTAAGTTAGTAGAACAGTTGAAGAATGTCAAAGATGTGACAATAACTATAAACGGATGGAAATAAGTCTCCAACAATTTGCTGTGAGTAGTATTATGAATGTAAAATAATGAATCTTGGACATTGTGCATTTTACATGACGACCTACATTCGTATGCAATGAATTGCATACTGAATGATTTTTTACAAGTTTTTAATATTGGATTATACATTTCAAGACTACGTATGGAGAGAATAACATTAGTAAATTTCTGTCTAAACACGGTGGTATTCAAATGTACTTGTATGTCTTGATGTTGCATCCTATCACAAAGGATTTCAACATTGCGTCAAAAAATCAAAGCTAGTTAATAACTCTCCCATCAACAAAGATATTTTCAAGTTGATGGATGATGATTATCATTTTATAATTAACAAGGAAATTTGTAAACTTATTAAGCCCATAATTGATAGTATAGCTTGTCTTGAGCAGAATTCAATCACATCAAATTAGATTTTTGACAAAGTCATCAAATTATACACAATTGTAAAAGCTACTAACGTTATTGAGAACTACAAAAAATTCAAAGCTCACATGATCAAGATCATACAAAAATAAGCTTTTGAATTTGATCATTCGATCTATTTCGTAGCTCATTTTTTGAATCCTCAATATCAAGCAGTCGCCATCTCCATAGAGAAGACATACAACATCATTCGAAAAGATATTGCAAATCTTGCCAAAGAATGGAGTTTCACCAAGAAGTATATTATATCACTTTTGATGGATTTGAACAAGTACATCAACCGAGGTGAAGCTTTCACAAACAGTTCAAACAAAAACTTTGCAATGAATTTGACAATCACTTGTTGGTGCAAATGCTTTGCGTGTCTTTGTAATGAAATTTTTTTCTATTGCTACTCATAATGCCGCAGTGGAAAGATTGTTTTCACAACTCTCATTATCAAAAACAAAAATTTGCAATCGCATGTCGGTCAAAATCATGAAGATGTTTGCAATCGTCAGATTAAGTCTTTACTTATATTCAAAACCAATTCAACATACTCTCCATTGTTATCACCAGAACAAGAGAGTTTATTTAATATAGCATTTGAAAAAGATGAAAGACTTAATATGGTACCGACCAATGAATTGATTTTGAAATATCTAATGTTTATTTGCTATAATGATGATGATTTTCATCACGATTTTTATATGTATATTGATTTTGTTGGATTTAGACAAGAGTCATCTCCACATCTCAACAAGAAAACAATGGACATTCAGACAAAAGTTATACATCGAATCAACGCAATGGCAGCAGACATAGAGGACTTGATGGTTTGGTTGCAGTTCATGAACGAAGCTATGATCAAAAGTCAGACTATCATATTCAATTCTTTTGATCACCTCTTGTTGATACTCGAAGTTGCAATGCTACCCACTAAGGTGTGCACTCACGCCTTCATAACAACATATCAAAAATTATGTACGGCACCTTGTATACTTGACCAAAAAATAGAAAGAAGAATTTATATTTTATAATGAAAAAAAGTAGTCGACCTCTGAAATGTCTCAAGATAAAATTGTCTTCTTAATAAATAAATTTTTTCTCTAATCTAGGATCATAAATTGAAATTAAACAGTTTGTAAAAAAGTTACGCCTTAACTTCAAAAATTTATATTTGAAATACAGCGGAGTTGGTCTTAACACAGTTAGACGGGTCTCGCCAAATGAAGGCCAAAATTATCATAGGGCCTCAAGGAGATCTAAAAGGGGTTACTTGACAACAGTGGACTAGCTACATGCTTATAATGAGCCTCCATTGCAAGTTCGCCTGTAGCCGATGATGAGAATAGGTTGACACCCCATCATTGTCCTGGGTCTAAAGCCACCTAAACGAATTTGCCTTTGCAATACATCCTCCTCCGCTTTCTCAAAAGAACTGAATTGCTGCACTCGCTAGATGATCAATACCCTCGTTCTGTGAAGGATATTCCGATGACAAAAATGCATGACACTATGTGGTACGTCCTTGTACTCTTTCACCTGCAAACTTCACCGTCCAGCCCGCCTGCTACAAATCTACTATTGCGTGTGTCTTCGATACGGCCATGTTTTGCAATCCGACCCTCTACTACATACAATCCGACTTCGCCTAAGACTCCTTGCAGTGAACAATTTATCCTTGGATCGCCTTGTGGAGCTCAGCCATTGTACCAGTGCCGCTACTGGAGAGAGTCCTGTTTTGGCGAGAAAGCCTGCAATCATGGCTGCCTTCGAGCTCGCTGTTCAAAACACAGACCTCTACTTGCGCATGGCCATAGACCATCAAACGAGGTAATTTTTAAGCTAGACGCAGGCCGGACGTGGCTGCAAACACTCTGATTATCGTTTAAGCTGCCATGGGCTCAAAACTCCAACAAACACACTCTCGCCGTAATAAAATACCAGTTATGCCGACAAGTGCAAACATTTCGCTTTGATAAAAATTGTATTGAGAAAACACCCCAAAAAATACACAGAGAGTAAATGCACGCACAAGATATTATACGTGGTTTAACTTTCTCGGGCTACATTCACGGGAACATGAGAGCTTTATTAAAAATCTGGAACCAATGTTGGAGGCGAGCTACGTCTCGCAATCCTGTATAGTTGGTAGCATAGATCCCTAAACCTAGGGAAGAAATTAACTAGAGTTAACTTACTTGAACATACAAAGTGATTAAATGAAAAAACATCTTCTTGTGGGTTTCAATCCCGAACATTTGTTTGGCCAGTCTCATCCATGTCCAAATGTAGAAAGGTAAAGAACTTATCCAACTTTGAATTAGTTGGACGTAGATTAGAGAAAAGTAAAACACTGCAAAATGGGAATGTCAAACCATATGTATGATTCGACAAAATCACTGAAAGATTAATATAGAAGTTATAGTGTTAGATTTAGATGCCAATGGAGTCGATTGGAAACCAAAAGAATTATTGTTTACTTTGCATGTTTGTATATTTTAACTGAATTGTAGAACTATTATCTACAAAAGAATTTATTACTTATCCCGGCCTACCAATTGGCTCTCTTCTAACTCCAAAATAGCAGTTGACCTGATGAGACCTCAGAAGCCAAGCGACAATCTAAAATCATCTAAAACTCAAAAGCAGCCAGATGATAGATTATCCGATTAAAACAGTGCTTCCACTGAGAGTTGAACTCAGGACCTCCCGCTTACTAAACGGGTGCTCTAGCCAACTGAGCTATAGAAGCTCGATGTTTCAGAATGTGATACTTTATATTATATAATCTAATTTTTTCTCGGGTATTCTTCACAAACATTTGTCTATATGTAATATCCTCTTGTATAGTATGAAAATTACATCAAAAACACACTTTGAGATCATATGCCTCAAGGTTTAAAATGTATCCTCTAAAGAGTACGATCCCAAGGATATTGTAGGACAGGCCCATGAGTTCCACTATTACATATGTAGAATACGGTTCATCGGAATAGATACTGATGTACTGCATGTGACATCGTACATTTTGGGCCTGAATTGGATGCAGGTGCAAATGTAGAGAGATCCAGCTCATTTTGTGGGGTCATACAATTCACGAGTAAACTGCCTTATGCTCTTTCATAGAGTTTCCATATTCGGGTTTGTCCGAAATACTCCAGTTGAACTAAGTGATTCTGAAAGGATAAAGACGTTACATCACCTATAAAGGTGGAATTACAAGCGAATGTGTCTGCTGGAGAAGAATACTTTCAATCATCTGAACATGATGACTCAGTTATTATTACTCAATTATGACTCTAAACCCTAAACCCTATCAGCTCTCGGACTCACGTGACTATAAAGCGAAATCCGATCCGATGAACTTACGTCTTCATCCAAAGGGCCGATGCCTCAGACAGACGCGACGTCTATGGACAAAGAAGCTGTATGTATTTGGACAGAAAAAATAACAAACACAAATACGAGTTTCTTGGTTGCTATCTCGAAGGAGTAACAGACGAAGGCATACTCTCGTGTTGTCCCGTGTTTTTCTGTGCAGCCTTCTGCCTGAAGACGATCTCTTCGTACCGGCACCTTTCAACCAGGGAACGGCGTCTGTGATTTTCCGACCCATTCTAGATTGAAGAAAATTTGCGATAGCAGGCTATGACAAAAAATCCAGATAATTCACAACCTCAAGCGAGGTAAACCATCTGATTGGAATTAAACATAATAGAGAACTTCCGTAAAAGAATTAGATAGCACGTGATTGACAGCAAGGGCTTGACAAGCAAGGAGACCGAAGAGCTCAGATCCATGAGGTACGACCATTGGGACCCTACTCTACGCCTCTACGAAACAAAGGAGTAGAATAGGAAGGAGGAGCTTTTTACTTTACTATGAGAAACGTAACTTACTACAAACTACTCCTAAACAAGTTTGCATGATCTTCTAACACACGCTGGCTCATAAAAACGCATGTTCTCAAAGCTCAAGCTAGTTACGGCGGCATATATTAATTTCCTTCGATTCACAACTCGGTTTTGGATGATTACTTCTTTGCATCCCTACGGTGGCTTGTAAAACGCTACCGTGCTTGCTACCAAACTTGCACAGTGGCAGATCTTGATCACTACAACTAACTTATTCAGTTTTGAACAAGTTTCGAAGTTCGCATTCATGCACTGTAAAATGATCTTGTAAAGGGCTCGTACTTCACACAAATCTGATCAGTTAAAATACACATCGCAAGTACCTTGTTTCTGTTGGAAGTAGAATTGAACATTAACAACTAATGCTCGTAATAAACAACCAAGAATGATGAGGGCTTTTGACCCCAAAAAAAAACCCCCCTATCTTACAGAGGGATATGATAGTGGGTGTTGGCTTGCAACACCAGGTACTGCAGGCTCAGTGATACTTTCAGGAACTCCAGGAGCACCAGGTTCAGAAGTAGCCCAGCCACTATTTCTACCCCCATGCGGATCAGACTCGGCGTTCCAGTTACTGTCACCGGGATGTTTTGCGGATAGAGGGGGAGGTGGTGGGGGAGGAAGTGGAGGAGGGTGCTCTGGAAGGCTGTCACTTCCTTTAATGTTTGAGGATTTATCCCACTCGGATGTCCATCCAGGTTGAGCTGGTGAGTATGCAGGCTGATCCCACTGACTTCTTACTGGCTTGGCCGACGGCCGATCCCAACCACTCTGGCGAGTATCATCTCGAGCTGGTTGGTCCCAACCACTACTCCCTCGGCGAGGGTCAGCCCTTTGTCGCTCACCACCACCCTGGCGTTTTGCTCCGTGCTGATCCCAGTTACTCGTTACGCCTTTGTCGACAGGTGCGGCATCCCATCCAGTTCGGCTTCCTCCAGATTCGGAGGCTTCAACGTCCATGCTGTCCCACCCACTTCGAGTGAGCTTCTCCTTGGGAGCCTCCCAGTTACTCACACTATCTTTGCTACCCACTTCCCCGGAAGGAGTATCCCAGCCCGTGTTCTTGTGAGCCTGGTCGCTAGTCCCGCCTGGAGGCTTCTCTTTGCTAGCCCCTCCAGAGTCCCACTTGTTATCTGTTTGGGAAGCGCCCCAACCACTTTCAGCAGGCGATGCTGAACTCGGTTGAGTCCAGTTGCTGCCTTCTTTACCCTTTTCGTTCGCTATAGAACCCCACGCAGGGGCCGTGGCATTGGGCTCTGTAGAGGTCCAAGCACTATCGCTTTGATTAGGTTGCTCTGTAGGGGCCGGCGGTTTATCCCAAGAAGTGGTCCCATCAGCTTTCCTGGCATTTGGGTTTGCTGATCCTTCCCACATGGCACTACTGCCTCCGCTCTGATTAGTCTCCGGAGTTGCATCCCAGCCAGTCTGACTCTCACCAGCAGGCTTGGGTGCAGGGTTGTCCCAACCACTTCTCTTGCTACCGTCTCGTACAACACCTGCACGGCGAGGATCCCCTCTCGACTGCTCCCAGCCACTGGCACCGGTTCTCGCTGCTGGTGCAGGTTTGTCCCATCCAGACTTGCTTGCTGTGGCCTCATAGCTGCTTCTAGCTGTGCCTTGGGATTCTTGTTCGGAGTCCCATCCACTTCGGCTAGGTGTACGCTCTGCCGATGGCCGATCCCAATTGCCACCACCACTGTCCCAGCCACTGCCACCACCAGTAGCTGTCTTCCTTACACCCCAGCTAGAATCTGCACTTAAAACTGGGTTGAGCTTCTCATTCACAAAAGTAATTCCGAATTTAAACACAATATTCTCTGTACAGCAAACCTTTCAAGGCCTGTTGATGAGTTCACCTTAACATATGAAAACAAATCCAGAAGAGGCAAACGATAACATGAGAAGGAAGAGGAAAGGAAGACCTGCTGTACCTGAAATTGGAGTAAGCGACGCGGCATCTGAGAATCCAGTATCATTAGCTGCCCAGCCGTTGCCTCCGGGTTTAAACCCATCATGTGGGGCTTGCTGTGGCCTATTATCCCATCCGCTTTGTCCAGATGGTGGAGGCATATTCCCTCCCCTGCCTCCCGCATAGCCCGTAGCAGATCCACTCCCTTCCCAATTATTCCAGCCATTGCCCTGACCTTGGGACGATGGACCGGCTCTGTCCCATCCACTACCAGAGTTTGCACCCACTCTGTTTCGGTCCCATTCGGAGCCTCCTCCAGGAGCTGCCACGCCCCTTCCCCATCCGCTGTTTCTACCCCTTCCTCCACCACGATCCCAGCCATTGCTCCCATCCCAACCACCGGCCCCGGTTCCTTCACCAGACCTTCCAGGGCCCCATTGTCCACCGCTCCTAAAACTCCCACTAGCACTAGGTGCTGGACTTCTTGGTGGCACCATGGCTGCAACGGCACGCCGTGGCGCCACTTCAGGCAGTGACTCATTGAAGTGTTTTTGGAAGTAATACACCAGTTTCTCGGGTGTATCAAAAACTCTCTTCCGGAATTTGAGGCCAGAAGGAGAGACGCTAATATATTCATGACTAACTGTGCTTACACTCTTGATATAGGACAACCTAAAGGCACCCGGATGCTCGTGACAGATGGAGAAAAAGTAGGGAATGACCATCGGCTTCTCCTTTTTCAGTATTCGGAGACAATCATCCACTTCCGCCTTCGAACCTCGTTTGAACTTTCTATACCGTAAGACATTTTTCACGTGACCTACGAGAGGATCTACGTATCTCGCAATGACCTGCGAAATTGTGAAAGATATGGCGTACAAATTATAGCCAGGTGTAATAAGACCCAACAATCCCTACTACTTAAAATTTCGAGGAAAGCCTGAGGTGTGAAATGTACATTCAATAGTAGAAAGAACTGAACCGTAACTAGACAAAATGGAACGCGCAAGTGTCACTGGTAGGACGCAAGTCACCTAACCTAATCAGGAAACAATGGCAAACGGAAGACCGACATGATATGCCCACTCATCATTAGGTGGGATTAAATCCCTCCGACACGCTCTGGGCTTTAATTTATTAAAAGAGATGAGTCACAAACCTCGTCGAGATCTTCAAAAGTGTCATCGCCAATTGTAAGAGTTTTTCCGATTCGAAGAAAGCTTGTCATGTCTCTACTATCCTTTCCTCCCTCCACAATGTCAATGTTAACGTACACCCCATCGTAGAACTTCAACGTCATGGATAGATGAGAGGGACCCTTACTACTAGGTCGAATAATAACCTCCCCGACATCTTTCTCCGCTAGTGCCTGAAATATCATTAAGGAGATATAAATTATCAAGCACCAAAGAAAACACATATAACAGAGAAATGCAATTACTGAAAGTTGTTCTGAAGACAAAAAATGACCTACGGTAGGCCAAGTAATGGGCACCACAGAGAAACTGTAGTCTGCAGAGCAAAAGATTAAAATTATGGCACAGACTTCACCAAGATAAGACGACCTCGCAGCAATAACCAATTCCATGTTCTATGTTGATCTGGAACGCTTGGTACTCAATTCTATAACAAAATACGGATCCGCCAACAGACAAACCTGTAAATAGCCGACTGCTTTATCACCTAGTCTATGGAATGAAGGTGAAAAGCGGAAAAACTTTAAAAGAACCCGCAAACTCAAGAGAAAGAGCATTTGTGCACCTCTATGGCGTCCGCCAGAGACACGTTTTGAAACTGTGGGTGCACAATCATACGAGGTTTGAACGCCTTCCGCTTTTCCTCGTCACTCTTCTTCTTTGCTTTCTCCTGCTCGGCGCGCAAAAAGGATGTGTCCTGATTGAAGTACGGGTCCTTGGGTCTTCGAGGTGTCCAATTCTCCCCCCTTAACTGACTTCCTTTGCACGTCAAATTTACCAAGAACATAGCTTTGTTCACTTCCTTGACCCTACAGGTCACGATCGACCCTTCGGATACTTTATCAGCCGGATCAACGTTGTTCTCATCTGAGAGATCCTTTTGATGTATTATCCCCATCAAACCAGATTCCAGAACACACATGACTCGATTTTGTTGCACTTTGCGCACTGTTGCGTGCACAAGACAGCCTTCGGTCAACGTGTCCTCATTCTCGCCGCTAAGCATAAAAAAGGCTTCCTCCTCTGTCGGTGATACATACTTGACCCTCCACTCCTGATATCCGTTTTGCAACTCCGCCTGAATCATCAATAAAGTCTGCAAATCTCTGCTAGGTCCATCTTTTGCCAGAAAATTTGCATACGCCTCCATATCCATACTGGCCAAGTAACGAGGATGCTTCTTCACATGTTCGATGGCTAACTCTAGAGTTTCATCGTCCATGTCCTCCACTTGAGTTCCTTCTTCTTCACAGTATGCGTCCTCCGCCATTCTTTTAGCAACCTCGTAAGATTCAGGATGGATACGTGTGTCATCTAATGGGTCTAATAACTGGTTCCCTGTCGAGGCTTGTCCCGTCCCACGAACACGAATAAATCCGGCTGCGTTTATGAACACTCGTCGACCCATTATCCTCAAAGCCAAAAGTAGCTCCTTGCGAGAAGTAACTCTCCCCGCACCTTGTATAGAGCGCTGAATGTATGTGGCTTTACGAGGGCCCAAGCCAGAAATAAACTGCAAAGGTGCAAATAACCAATCGTGCGAAGCTGCTAGATTCACATCAATCCCGACTTGATTCGTAACTGTAACCATGACGCGCTCCACGGACTCATAAACTTCCTCTGGGGAGAGAAAGCTCTGCATGGAGTGAAGCTTCAGAGAGAGCACTTCTCTGCTAGGACCACACAGTGTAGCCAACATGGCAAGAGGATTTTGCAGAAACCGACCCAGAGCAACAGCTCGTCGAACTATGCCTGCAATTCAGATTATTAACGTATCACTACTCTGTCACCAGAAGTAGGCATTTAAGCTAGCAACTTCGCTAATGCAACGGGTAGGCAAACCCAAAAAGTTGAGAGATAGTACTGTAAGGTTCACAGATTGATAGTAGGCCTGGAGTATCTGCAGAAAAACAATGAAAGGTACCTGGGTGCCCCACAAGCTGTTCCTCCGAGATGTGGGAGTTCTCGTAGAGCTGAGGAATCGTTTCGTCACCAAAGACAACGTTTATAGTATCTAGACCTTCCGCTAGATCTCGAGGGTGTTCTTCGACAATTTTGAACGTAACCTGTAGAGAAAGGACGAGTATGAAACGCACGAAGCCTCTCATTTAAGAGAACCGGCAGAAAGGAACGGGACACAGGCGGCTCGAACACGGATCTAAATCTCTCGCAGAACAAATCCTGCAACTGTGGGCCTCAACGGACATCCCTGCACCATTTTCTGTTTGACCATACAGCATAATACAGTGCTTCTAAACAGTGACTGAAGGCGAAGAGAAAGGACCCTTGCACTAAGATCGTACCTCGTGTATGTCCGCCAGCAAATGGCGGCAAGCGAGGTTGGCTGCCCCTAAAACAACTACGTGTGGCTGGCTATCCTTCACAAATTGCAGGAGCTTCGCCTGGTCCTGTTTCTTCCGCGCTTGTTGTTCTGCGCTACCTGCCCTGATGGTCAGATAACCAGTATGGAGTATATTAACAATCTCTCCGGCAGCATCAAGCATAACAAAGGTTGTTGCAGGCTTGCCAGGACCCCAGCAGCAAGCCATTACCCTTGGGGGCATTTCGTCGTAATCCATTTGGTCATCATCCGCTCTCGAATAGGGAGCTACAGAAACCTTTTTCCACAACTCCAGCCCACATTGTGCGGACACCCATTGCTTGCCTCTTGCGGTCAGAATCATCCGCACCTCTTTCTCCATTGTTGGTAACAACATGGTGTGCAATGCGTCTTTCAGTATAAGCCTTCGTTGCTCGTTCCAAAGCTGAGCAGTTCTGCTCACCCGCTCACTGAGGTACCATGCTTCGAATTCTGGCATCAGTTGCTCGTTTGTCACATTCTTCGGGAGTCCAATGACTACCTCTAGAAGCTTCTCTTCTTCGGCTTTCTGAATAAGAAGCCATTGAGCATCTTCAAACTGACTGACTGGCTTATTTTGCAGCCACTTCACACCGGCATACTGATGAAATGCATCAATGGCCGTATTCCCATCTGTTGTTGGTCTGGTGCTAATGACCGCCTTCTCCAAATAGACATGGCGGACGTACTCTCGAACGGCAGGTTCAGTGCTGATCTCTACAGCGGCCTGCAAATGCCGAGCCCATTCATAACTCAAGATCGATCGTGTGAACTTCCATATGTGGCTCACGATAATGGCTATACTCACTCTTATCTAAACGTCATAGCCTGAAGACAATCGACCCAGCGCTCTAGCTGAGAGGTGCTACTGTGGAGAGATTCCATATTCAGACCAAATGGAGAGAAAAAAAAAACTACCCATCTTCCTTCACAAAATCATGCTTTCAAAATGGAGTTTGTAAAACAAGTCTTACCATATGTCTAGCGCCTTTCAGGACGGACAGAGGATCACGAAACTCGCCGGTAACATGACCGTTTGCAACGTCCTCAGGAGGAGAAGCTTCGTCCTCCACTTCGTGCCTCTGTAGACATTATTTAGCAACTTCTCTCATCAAACCGCCTTCAAAGTAGGGCTTCTGCACCTTCATATTCCCACCACAAAGGCAAAAAACAAACGGCTACGAGTATTCAACTGGGGAAACAAGTTACGAACCTTGTACATGGCTGATATATTCTCCCCAAATTTCTCAGGAGTAAGACCAAAGTAGACAGCCACAGATCCTAGACCAGCCTTGCGGCAGACGCTGTAGAATGAGCGACGCTTTGGTCGCTTGAATTGACCGGGTTCCAAGTCCACGTCATCAGGAGGAAAGTGAAGGTTGAACTTAGCATCCACATCGTCCACAGCCTGATCAGACTGCGCTGCACTTAGCGCTTCTAGCAGCTTTTGAAACAAATCTTCTCGGGCAATTCCTCTTCTCGAATCAACCAGGTTTCGCTTCTCGTAAGCAGCTTGTAAACCTAGTTTTCGCTTACGCAAAAGTAACCATTTCTTGTCCCAGTGGTGCAATGCCCAAAGCACCTGCAATACAAAAGAGACAGCGTCAGGTCACCAACAAAACAACAATTCTGTTACAAACGTGATGCTTGAGTATGAAATCCAAATAGATAACAAGAAAGCAGTAGATCTAAGTATAGAGACTGCACCTCCTGACGCTTCAACTTCACTCGCCTTTCAGCTTCGACATCTCTGCTCTGTTCCTCAGGTTCGTGTAGAAGGTCAATGCATTTCTCCTTTCTATACATTGCAATGAACGGTATCTGCAAGATCGTTAAACCGCAGCTCCAATCAGTTTGCTTTCAAACCTCGAGTAAATCAACGACAAATTAAAACAAACGGAAGTGAGACTAGCTTAGGCAAAAAATTTAGTGGAAGTACATACCCGTTTCTATTCATCGGCCTTATAGTAGCCGACAGTTATAGTAATATAAAAGTATCTCGCTGGGAGTTTAATGAATTGAGTCTAAAATCTTCGATATATCTAAAGACATATCAATGTGCTTATACGAAGTAACTAATACGACTTTGTGCGGGAAAATAGAATTCTGGACATGAAACTTACAGAGTCAACTGTGATGGAGTTCCTTCAGCGAGCAGAGAAGAATTGGCTAAAAATGAGCAAGCTACTTCGAGAGGATAAGAACATACCTCCAGTTTCTCCTCGTGAATCAGATGCAGAACGTTGTCAATTTGTCTCACTATTTCCTCCTTCTCCATCTTTGCGATTTTATCAAACTCTGGACGCCTATACAATGCTTGACTACCAAAGACTCTTTCATATATCCACACTGCCTCCCTAGCCGATGTGTCAGATGTAGGGAAGGGGCCAACAACCTCCTCCAGTAACTGCATTCCACGAAGTGCCAAACTCGACGGTAAATTAACTTTAAAGGTCTTCGACATAACAGCCTTAAAACTCAACTACGTGCTGTCAGATATACTTCAACGAGCAAAGACGCCGTTGATCCGAGTTAAAACAGAAAACAAAAAGATTTTTGTACAATTGACTTAAACACTTACTTGAAGTCGCTCTGCTACATCTATGTCACGTATTTTATCATCCCTTTCCGTCATGTATTTTTCTTCAAGAAGACTGGGTTCGAACTGTTTTTCCAGCATCTTACTGGGTCTGCTCCTACCAAAACCATCTTCGTCTTCGTCTACTTCCATCTCAGCTTTCTGTGCATCCATCTCACGTTGACGCCGTTCTTCCAAGAGACCAGAAACATCTCCAAAGATATCTTGTGCTTCTTGTAAGGCAAAAGATGATATTCCTGGAGCCTGCCTAGGTGCTTTCTTTTTCTTCGTTTTCTTCCTCCTGGCAAAGAAAATCAAGTTCGAAATCGAATAGGAGGAACGAAAGATGTGACACATCAGCGCATGAAGAAACATTGGCTACAGGTAGTGAACTCAACAATAAGACCGGTCAAAAGGCAGGATATGTTCGAAACTCTGAAAAAATGAGAGGGTAATATACCGGAAAGGTTGTCCATCATCCTCCAGCTCTTCTTCGTCGACAATGAAATCCGCCATCTCGTCCTCTTCTTCACCAATCTCCTCTTCCTCTTCAGGCTCCTCTTCTTCTGCAACATCATCAGGAGGTACACTCCCTGCAGAGCACCAAACGTTGATTGCTTGAGCTGTACTATTTAGTTCCCAAGTCTAAAGCCTAGCGGTCATACCAGCAAGTACAAGTCGTGCTTCTTCTGAGAAGCTTGCTTCTCTCTGGCTAGGAAACTCGTTAAGCTATACGCTTGTATATTACATATTTCACTGACCTTCGTCATCACCAAACAAAGTGCGTTTGAGCTCCTCTTCAGCAGTGCGACCTCTTCTGCCTCCTCCTTCATCCTCCTCCTCCTCATCATCTGACAGGCCCATCCTTGACCCACGATCTCCATCGCCGCCTCCTTTTCCAGCTTTCTTCAAACGCTTAAATTTGGTTTTATTACCCTAAGACAAAAACGAACGACATTGTCAGCCAGTGCCTTGATTATTACAAGTACGATAAAATTGAGATGACGAAAAGCAAGTGATAAGTGGATGCCACAAACAAGGATCACAACAGTCTTTGCAAGGTGATGATGATATGCTTTTTATTATTCACTGCAAAGAAGAAATCTGCAGAAAGAGTCTCATACTTACTGACTTCGGAGGCGGGCGATGGAATCCAGTTACATTAGCTTCTTGAAGAAGCAAGTAATCGTCTTCATCAAGCTGATCATTCTCTTCAGCCCTTTATGCAAAGAAAAATCTATATAAGTTTCCCAGGTCACAGACTCCCTGTCTGAAGCCCTTTCCAGCAAAATTCATCGAGTGAAACATTGCAATGCACGTGAGGTCCATGAGAAGGAAGTAAGTACGTGAGCTTAAAAGCATATGGAAAGACACAAGTAGTGAAGGCATTCTAAAGTGCTGGTCGCAGTTATAAACTTCGACATCCACAAACATGCACGAGAACATCTCAACAGAAGGGTAAGGCCCAGCCTTCGGTACTGACGGTGAATGAAGGACTGAATGCAAACAAACAGCGACACAGAAGGATGGATTGAAAACTAGGAAAACTCGGATTCCACCTTACACCGCAGTGCAAGAAGTAGGATGTACTGAATTCAAAGAAAAGTTGAGAGCATATATAGCATCTGGCAAATCATACACCCAAAGAAGCAAACAAGATAGTGCAAACTTTGGTTGCAAAGAAAATGAAGCTCCATCTTCACTGGTATACCTTTTCTTCCTCTTCTTTTTCTTGGCTTTAGCCTCGTCGTCACTGCTCTCTCTGGCCTGCTCTTCTTCTTCAGGGTCTTCTTCATCCTCGTCTTCATCTACAATAAATCCATCCTTCTCATATTCATCCTGACCCTCCTCTGTATTGAACAATTCACCGGGTTAGCTTTCAAGGGATCCAGCCAGCTATTTGAATAAACTTGTCCGTGCATCACTGGCTTACACAATATACGTTCCAAAAAGGCAGGAAATCTTCGAATAACCGTAAACATCTTAGTGTCTTAGTAACTAGTGCGACAGTGACAAATTGTCGAGCTGACTGAGAAGGTGTAATTCGCAAGCCAAAATAATAGGTACAAGTCTTCGAGTAGTGAGATAATCGCTAACGCCTGTGACCAGTACATGGTTATCAGAGAAGGTAAGCATGCAAGAGAAAGGACGAGACTAACCTTCATCCTCCTCCTCGTCCTCATCCTCATCTACACCTGCCTCTGGATCCTGGGCATCAGCCTCCTCTTCATACTCGTCATCCTCTGAAAAGCACGTCCATATAAAAACACATTATATCCGTATAAGCGAGAGAACTGGCACCAAGTGAAGCCACAGTTTTGAAACGAATGCCCTGTGTTGGATAAAAGCCCAACACAACCACATTTTGACAGTCTTTTACTCCTTAACGAACTTGAAATTCCCTTCAAACTTTTGGTCGAACACCGACTCAACCCACAAAGCCAGTTTTTCTAAGGTAACATGGTTCCTACATGTTCAATCCCTTCAGGATGTCTTTTGTGGTCAGACAAGTATAAGGTATTGAACAATTCTTTCTGAAGTGAAGCTTGATACTTCTGATCTAGAGAAGTAAGAGCACGTCATTTGTCTGAAACATTAACGATGGACCTAAGCCTTCTATGCCCTAAATATGAGGATTAAAACTCTGACAGACGTCAAAGCAAACAAACAGAGTAGTGATGGAAACAAGAAGAAATCGAAGGAAGTTAAAAGAGAAGATTCCTGTCAACTCGATGACGTAAAACTAGGGAATCAAGCAACGCAGGGAAACTAAATCGCAGTAAGAAAATTACCATCGTCACTGATGGCCCTGGTACCCATTTCGGCGCCCCGCGCTTCAACAACTTGTTCTCACCTTCCGTCAATTCTCGACGGACAAAGCTCAGCTGACCAAGTTCACAGCACTTGCCCCGGGAACTGAACAAGAACGATGAAGTGGAATTTTGTCAGCAGAGCGCAATAATTAATTGGCACAACAATCTGCGCAATCGTCAGAATCAAGCATTTCAAAATTTATTTTTAACTTAACGTTGCACAATGCCGCGACGGCAGCACAAGGCTAACCTCCTAGCTAGAAGGATGTGAAAGGGTTTAAGAAAGTAAGGATATCAGAACTGACGCTCATCATCCACGCCTTCTCACTCATCAGATAGAAACCAATGTACCGAACGAACTTGGTGTTTGGACGATTATTAACCTAACCAATGACATCGCCATTCGGCAGGGCAAATTTGTGAAATCTACCACATAAAAAGCAGTTCATTAAAAATTCCAGCGCTGGTTATTATTGTTGCATACGTTTTCAGTTGGGGTCCGACTGGCCTACAAGCATCGTTCTTCAGCTACTGCATCTGAACAGACAGACAGCTTTCGATTCAGGATGAAAAGGAGCTAACCTTGCCGGTGTTTTCAACACCGTAACACTGAAAGCAGGAGACGATACTCGGCGCACGATTCAATGTCAGCGACGAGCCTCCTTCCTGCCTTGTGCGCCCGCTCATCTGCAGCACTTGTCCGTGCCCTCTGTGAATCGACGACGTCGTGTTTCGGTGACCGGCCTGCTCCCCCAACCCACCTGCACGAAGCGTTTGTGTTCCACGATTCAAGAAACTTATCTCGGGTCTCAAGCAGGTCCTTTGTAGGGGACCATATCAGGCAACATTCGAAACGAAACCTCGACTATACTATTCTTGTGTGGTAACTCGAAGTCGCCCTACCTGACTAAACCCCGTGGTTAGACACGGAAGCCGATGTGCACATCCTATCAAATCCCATCCTTTTTGCTACAAGACTTGGGTCGCCCTTCTTCTCATCCTATCAAAATCAGCCCAGCTAAATGGAGTTATCAACGCTGAAGGATATCAGTCATTTTAGCGCATCCTCGGCGCACGCACTTAGTATCGTAACTAGGAACCGTATGAGCGTCTTATGTTGCGAAGGGCTCAGTGTTTGTAAGTGTCTACGTTGTGAAAGTGACGCAACTATGAAATCTAAATTTCTCATTTGGATCACAACTAAGATATTTTCCCATTAGACTTGAGCATGATAAGTTTTAACTACATTGATTTGCGTTAGCTATGCATATCAAACTGCAACTTTGGAAGTAACTAAATTAGATAGTTCCATATGAGCAATATATTATTATGGATGAGAGCGCACAATCGTATTGAAAGAGTGGTTAAAACACTGACTAATTATAAAATTTAAATAGAAAATTTACGAAACACGTTGGTCAAGAATGTATTAATTTTTTTAAAAATAGGGCATTTAAAAATCTTGAAGCCATACGCAAATGTATAATACATAGATTAGCACATAGAAAACTACTCTTTTTGAACTACTTTCATCAACATAATCTTCGTAGCCAATTCTTTTGATAAAGATGTTTAAGTTTCTGATGAAGCACATCCTAAATCATATAACCATGTATATGGTTTAATTAAAATTACAAACAAAAAAGAGTTCAAAATGAATACGTAGACATTGCATCACAAACAATTTTTATGAAGAAGAAGTTGCTTATCGCGTATAAATCGTATTTTTCCCTGGTTTTGCAAAAAATCATACAAAAAGTGACTTACGTTTTCTAATATAGTTATCCCTGTAAACTCTATAAATAATTCACGAATCCATTTCGTTAATACTTCATCGTATTAAGTTATAAAAAACTTGAAGATATATCACATGTTTGCAAAATCAACATGTATGACGTATTATGATGAATCACAAAAACATGAAGAAATTTATTTGTATTAAAAAATAAAAATATCTTTTTCAAAATAAATAAAGCTCTTTATCTGTATTTAAAATTTTATTGATAAATTAGAATGATTTTACTTTAATATGTAATATAAACAGACAAAACATAATATAAAAAAATATTGGTTTATTATTTGTAAAACGTTGTTTTGTGATTATCCATTGTTCAAAGCTTGTTGAAAAAAAATTAAATTTTACATTTACATATTATAATTGTTATTTAATTCAAAATGTTATTTTACTTATAGTAGCAGAAAAAAAACATTCTCATCTAAAGTATCGCATTGGATAATACCGAACACTTCATTATATGGAACACTAAAATTCATATTTCCATTTTTGTTTTGTTGACATTAAAGTTTTCTAGACAAAAACGTAGGATGAAACATGTTTATAAATAAAATATTTGACATCAAATATTTTTTAAATTTTTAAATATTATTTTTAAAATCATAAAATATGTTTTGATATATCCATAAAAAAAATTATTTTTTATTAAATTTTTTATTATTCAAAAAACATCTTATGAATAAATATTCAATAAATTATTTTTTATGATTTTTGTGCAATATGTAAGATGATTTGTTGCACAAAATGATTCACGTAACTCTAATATATGAATTCAACTCTATTTTATTTTAAAATTCAAAATTTAGTTTTAAGTAATCAAGTGTTGAGTTTAGGTCCAATACTCTTTTATCTTTATTTCTGAAATCTTTGAATACATCCAAAATGAATTTGTAATGTTGATTTCTAACATCAACATGAGAATTTTTCATTCAATCAAAAAATCATTATAATTTGTTTATTGCATATTAAATCTAGAATATTATGATTAGTAGTCATGATGTTTTTTGTTGCAATATTTATATTTTTTTTGTACAATAATGTGTCTTTATTTGATATTGTTTGAAGTAAAAAACTGTATACTTAAATATTTATCAATTAAAATTATAAAATTAGTACATGAAAAAATGCAAACAATCATATTAGAAAGTTATTGTTATCCATTCATTTCATTTAATAAAGATAAAATTTTTTTCAACACATAATAAAATTAATAACATTTATACATTTTATTTTAATTTTATCACATTGAACACAAACATGTTGGAATATAATATCATATAAAAAATAAGTTATGATCAACTATCAGCATGCATTTTAAATATGTAAGATTTATATTTAAGATGGTAGCATTATTCATAATAAGTTTAGACTGAAAAAATATCAGTTTGAGTATAACCTTAAGAATACTTTACAGACAAATGATGGATTTTCCATAATTCAATCAATGTTAGTTGATTAAATAATTTTGTTGGCTTGAAACACAAATGAAACATTTAATTATTATTTTTACATTTCAATCTTGACATTAAATTTTTTTGAATTTTTTTTGAATGAAAAATGTATATTTCATCTTACAAATTTTTATGATTTTAGTATGAATTTTATATTATATGATGTATTATTTGATAATACATAACTGAATGGTTAGCTAAATTGCAAAACATCGATCCATTGAATATATGCAATGTAGTGTAAGCAAATGATCAAATGTCCGACAATTCTAATACAACTATTTGTTTGGACTTTGAAAAATTTAGATTTGTTTGGACATATCTTCTAGATTCATAGTCCAAAGAAATAGTTGTTGTACACCAGGTTAAATACATAATCAAGATTAGATAACTTACCTTGAATTAATTTCAATCTAATCCACTGGAAGATCACATATAAATTATGATGTTGCCTTGTGATTATAGATGGTTATAACAAATTTTGAATATTCTGGTGACTTACCTTCTTGGATGAATGTAGAATGAAAAACACCCAATACATGTAATTGTAACAAAATATAGTTCATATAATCTTTGAATTCAATAAAGTTATGTTGACCAAAAGTTTACATGTGGAGATAGGACAAGAGACTACTTCTTATATCCACTGCTCTACAAAGAGTATGGACTATTCCAATATTGGAGAGCACTCAAGTGTATGCTCGTGATGGGAGCCAAGCAATCTCCTGCCAATTTGGTTTCATCCATGTACTGTCAGAAGGGACTTCCCATCCTTTTGCTATTATCCTTTCATTGTTTCTGCTTGCTGGTCGGGTGATTGCAACACACCATGATTCTCCGTTCGTTGACTTATCCAACTGCGGTAATATGTCCTGACCAGAGTGAGACATGGGAATTTGGAACGGAGTTCAAGTCCCGTGTCGAAATTCTGGGCTGCTCTAGTGACCGTAACAAGCGACAGTGACGTACGAGCGCATGTGACGTTCTACTTGACTTGGCTCTTGGTGTTTGGGGCAGTGGGTTTCAGAGTCCAGTTGGTGTCGTCCAGTCTGGAAGTGGGCATGGCGCTATCCAATAGCCTATGCTTCCCACTCGCTTCTTCGGTGTTTCTTTCCTCCAGAAAACCATTGGCAGGTGTGCTGGCGGGTTGCCAGATTCATCATGTCGCCACACACGCCAGCTTTCGAGCGCAGCTCGGCTCTTCATGTGATGATGATAATGTTGTTTCCAGGAGACAGGCTATTCAGCACCAGGTATTTTCTCTTGGATTCCTCATGAGCGGAGGACTGGCCGATGCAACAGAATTGAGGACTAAGGAAGTTCCTGCGAAGGAAGACAGGCCAAAGTTCTTCGAATTGTATGATTCTGGTGGTGTGAAAGCTCTGGACATCCGTCAAGGAAATGGTACAACACCCCAGATTGGCGACAAGGTGTGTTTAACATAGAGAGCTCAGTTCCTCGTCGTTGTCTCGAGATTTTCCTCCGCCAGTTTCATCTAGCTTTGGGTGATTCAATTGCTATCACTAGCAATTGAATTATGAGAGAAGTGATTAAGAGTTGTTTTGTGAATCATGTGCCGCGATAAAAATGCCGATGCTAATTGTGTCTTTGACCAATTTGTGTTATCAATTCTTGGACTTTCAAATCACTTATCGTATGGTGAAGGTTTGGATTTTATTACTGTAGGTTGTGATTCACTACTATGCACGGCTAGCAGCCAAGCAGGGATGGAGATTTGACTCCACATATGACCACAAAGATCAGTCTGGTGCACCCGAACCGTACGTGTTCGTTGTAGGATCTGGAGAGGTGAGTAAATCCGATACTGTGAGCAAAAGATCTCAATGAGATTTTTGGGTTTGACAGGACTATTTGCTTTCGTGAAAACATGTCGCTAGCGTTACAACAGTCTCTTTGGGAACGATCAAATTTACGCTGAATGTAATTCTGTGCAGGTCATATCTGGGCTCGACACTGCGGTGCGGACTATGCAAGAGGGAGGTCTACGTCGAATCGTCATTCCTCCATCACAAGGCTATCAAAATACAACTCAAGGCCCGATTCCTCCAAATGTAATTTTCTCTTCATTCTACACATCTTCTAAATTTAAAGAGGAAGCAGTGTCAATATGTTGTGGTTGTAGTCCATCTTATCATTCTCGTGACGTCCAGTTGCAAGCTTATGGGATTTGCTTCTTACTGCTGACTGTTGCAGGTGTATCCTAAACATACTTTAGTATCGATGATCTATTTGTTAAGTAGCATACTCGTAGACCGGTTTACGCTGTCAAAAGGTTGTGGTTGTCGACCAGTTTGAAAATCTCAACATATCTGAACTTTCACCACGACCTTTGAGGTTCCATACCTGGGTTGAGCATGAGTTTGAATACGATTTGCTTCACAACTTTACATTTTTTGTACTAAATGCGAATTCTTTTCCCTTCGCAGTACTTCGACCGACAAAGACTTTACACAACCATTTTCAATCCGACAAGATTAGCCAATGGAGAGGGATCTACTCTCGGAACGTTAATCTTTGATGTCGAACTGCTGAGAGTTCGTCCTAACTCAGACTAGCACTCAAGAAATCGACCCCAATGATCTGACTGTCATCAAGGACTGTGGCTCTTCTGAAGGTATCACTGTTTTGAAATAGGTCCTCACGATTACACCAATGTATCATAATGTTCGAATGTATTCTACTGTTAGATAATTCTAGTGTCAACTGGACTTGACCCCACCTTCCGGTGTTTCCTGTAACTTTGGACATGGTCAGATTCCTGGCTTTCTTGAAACGCATATGAGCTCTTCTCCATGTACTTTCTGCCATTAAGACTGACTGTTGTACAATTCCAGTGTGGAGGTGTTCGTTAATGAGTCTTGAACTAAGATTATTGTGCAATGTTTTTCTCGTCACTCCAGTGAGGGTTGCCTTTACTAGAACTAGCGGTTGGCTTGAGCGCCTATCACATTCGAGTTGGTACTATGTGAATGTGCAGACGGTTTTGAAGCGAATATCTCAATCAACCTAAACGACTCCTATGAGAATTGCATAATGGATATTAGAGCATTATTTGTCTTCGGAATCGATCATAACATATGTTCATGATCCCGAGTAGGCTGTACCTTCTGTCAGTCTATGGAGTGGGTCGTCTAGTCACACACGGGGACTTTAAGATCGCTAGCCTGTACAGAGTTAAATCTCCCAATAGTGATATATATTGGTATTTAGGTCACTATTGCGAGGTGTCACTCACGGCATGTAACCTACTAATGGTAACATACATGGGTGTTAGCATTAGATGTCATTGTAGTGAGGTGCATAATTTTCATATAACCTCCTAATAGTAACATACACTAGTGTTGGGGGTAGATGTCACTATTGGGAGGTGTCAATTATATAAAAAAAATATTCATAGATTTTTTATCGAGCATTGCATCAATCTCGAGACTTTCTATAAATGCATTGTTTGGTTTCAAAATTAACTTCATTTGCACATTTGTATTGTTAACATGAACATTATAATTACATTTAAATTTAGATTAAAACACAAATCTGAGTGAAACAACTAATGATAATACATGTAGTAAATTATGAGTTTAGTATTAAACCCTAAACCTTTACTTATATCCAGAAAGTGTGAATTGTTGAGATATAACTTTAAATATATTTATGTCACATTTTTTTAGTCTCATAATTATGTATTGTGATAATGATAAAAAATTTTATTCTGAAATTATATTTGAAATTATCACTATTGTATAGTATCATGTCACTATTGGAAATAGTGAATTTTAACTTTGTATTTATAATGTGGAGATTAACTTTACCGAAAAGAATAGAATGTTCGAATCAAATGTAGTTAACAACTTGACTGAGTCAATCAGTATATTACGGAACCCTAATCCTCAAGTTCCGACCACATAAAGAGGAATCCAAAAATCGAGGCAACCAATACCAGATGTCATTGTCATGTGAACTAGGAGTGAGCTCTTTTGTTAAGACATGTTTCAAAGTAAAGTAATCCACACTCTTTTAGTCATATTACAGTGGTTTGAAACATTGATCAGATTTCTCAGAAGTGTGGAAATTTTACCAAAATTCCGAGAAGTGTTGTTATTGGGAAGAATAGTTTTAGACAATTTATCTCGGGAAGATGTCTGCCCACGTTTAACGATACTAAGGTATTTATTCTTGCTAGAAATGGGTTCCTCTGTCTTACCTTCATCCGATCGTCAGACGTTTCTTGCGCAGAAGCGGGTTCTTTTCAAAATAATTTTTGTAGTTCATTTCATTTCTATGTTTGAGAGTTTACAGTTTAGAGGAAAAGTTGTGACCGGCCCACTATTGTCACATCTAGTTTATTACAATCAGAATTGGAAGCTAAGTGGTCAGAAAATATAGTATGGTCTAATCCTGTGATTCAACCCAAACGAAACAGTCCACGAAAGGTTTAGAGAAGAACTATGAAGAATACATTCTAGAGCAATTTTAAAAACTGCGTTTATGTACATGATTGGCACAGGTATGTGAGTGATTACAATGAAATGGAGTTTATCTGTGACATAATTTGAAGGATTCTAGCAGGGACTGAATGCTCATATACGCTCAACAGTGGCCTTTTCGCCAGTGCAAGTGTATTTGAAACCAAACGATCCATCGCCACGTCGGAACAGTGGACTCTACGTTCGCGTTTAAAATAGATACGTTAAGGCCGACAGTTTGCGCATGAGGTGTTAAAGAGAAATTTAATTAACATTTCATTGGAGGTAGAGGACAAACTTTCCCCACTTTACTGCATTCTTTTAGGTGCACAGAGGATTCTGTATCAACATCTAAACATAGGTCCTATGCCAACTGAGAAGGTCACGTACATCCAATGTAGCATTTGCCTGTCTTCTAGAGAGCTGAGGGCCTGAGAAAAGACGAAAAGTGCAGCTTGAAATTTGTTATTCTACAATAGCTCGTTGTAGATTTTGCGCGTCGCCTCACAACCATTCCCGGGGTAGGCATGGGATCGCGGAGGTTTCGCTGTCCATAGCTCGCGTTGAGCGTTGACATGAAGCATGGAAACGACAAGGCTTTAAAGAACGGTTAAGGCCACCAGACAGTATTTTCACTATCTTCCACAACCGATTTTCATTTGTACAGGTACGTCGCAGAGTCGCTGTCATGTTCACTGCAGGTACTCAAATGGAGACATTGATAGCATTGCCGAGAATATGGCTGAGAATGTGGTCGCCAACTTCAACTCGCGTTCTCTTTAACATCGTTCACTTTTTCCGGCGACGAGTCCGGTCCCTGCAATTCGATCGTCACAAAGTTCAAAATCAGTAAGATTGCCCACATACGAGGACGACGGGGGAGAGAGTGTTGAATTTTAAGAACGCGAACGTGTACAGTGAATATTGCCTGTGGGTTCCTTATTAGTGGTTGGGATTGTTAATGATTGTTAAGCTCTGACAGCCTCACAGGAGGTGAATAATGGATGCAACAGAAACATGCAACATAGTGACCTGGAAGAGTCTTGATTTGCGCACTTCGTTGTCGGATATGTACCATCCGGGCAATCAGACAACAGCAAGCTGTTAATGTCTGATCCAGTCTCTTTTGCTTCTCGATAAAGAGGCTCACTCTGGGGATTCAACTTTCATGTATCAAACCGGAAGAAGAGGAAGAGAAGGTGGACATTAATGATTTAGGAGTTTCCAGGAGTATTTGAGAGAGGCCAGGTAAACAAACAAACTCATCCATCGAGGATTGCAGAATATGTATCTTGACGAGCTGACCCGGCTTCAAAAGACTTACCAACTCGCTAAGACCAGTAGTTGCATCCAGCTGCCTCTTCAATGTGCTCCGGAGTGCTTGAAACTCCTGTGCATCATGAAAACGTTGAAGCGTCAATGATGATGGCAACCGAAAGTGAACCTAGTGATGCAGCAACTTCCAAAGAAATGCTTCAGGAGTAAGAGAAAACGACTCACATCTCTAAGCTGCTCCACTTCTGAGTTAAGAGTGCTGCGTAATTCTCCAAGTTCCTGCGTGTAGGAGAAGATTTTAAATAAATATATATGTATATAATTCTCAGTAGATGTCAAGAAGGAACAGGGATCCCGAAAGAGTTGTATTCTGATTTGTGCACTGGAGATTTCGCTGCTCCAGTGGCTGGAGTTCAAACTCAAACTGAAATATTTTAGTCTACCACTTTTGATAGAAGTGCGGCAGTGATGTTAATTCCAGAGTGTACGCGTATAAGGCCAAGATTCGAGATTGGCAAGGGAGCACTCACCTGTCGGTATGTCTTCACTTGTGAGTCCAGCTTTCCGCGCCACTCTTGGAGGTCCTGAAATTGGGGAGATAAGATACGTATGGACAAATTCAGTTTAACAAACCGCCTTGCCAATGTACAGAAGGAATGTTGGGCCGTTCCATTCGTTGTTAGACAAACGCAGATAGTTCGGGTAAATAACACGAATATCTACTGCAGCCAGGAATAAGACCACCATTCCAGTGGTTGGGATTACATTGTTGAACCCTCTTCTCGATAAGTGATTCTTTCGGAAATTTGTTTCCGCTAGAAAGGACTGATGTTGATCCTAGGATCAATTTTTCTAGGAACAGTAACGATCAGATCTTGGAGCTCCATTTGCATCGAACGATAGAACGATCAGATGCTTCTCCTTGTCGGGATAATATGCAGAATAGTGTGATCAGATCTGGTCGTAGAGAAGTGAATTACCTTCTTCAGATTTTGTACACGTCCGAGTATATCTGACCTTGACTGAAGCAAGTCCTGCAACATAAGCATACAGGGTAGATGATGAGAACAGAGGGTTGCAGCCCAAGAAGTTGTGGAAAAAATATAACTGCCCTCTTTAATTCAAAGAAAACCGGAATATTCTATACACACCGCAGTCACTTTGTCGATATCTGCCGAAGGTGGACAGTCCAACTTCATTTCAGCCAATTTCAATTCTGTCTCTGCAGTTTCTTTGCCCTCGCCACCCTGGTTTTCCTTGTTCTCCTTGTTCTCCTTGTTTTCCTCCAACTGTTAAAAATGTCGACCGGCACGAGTTCAGCGTGAGAGTGGCAAGAAGAAAATCTTTGGTTCCGAAATAATTCGGGATGTCAAGTTAGGTGCTGCATTAAGAAACGATAATATAGAAAAGTGCGCAAGCTCCAAATTACAGGACGGGTTGAATTCCGGTCAACGCCCCCGCAACATTCTTTTCGAAAGTGAGAGGAGATAGAGTACAAAGATTGAGCGCTTAAAAGATCTTCAAGGGAGCGTTTTCCTATCATGGGGAACAAAATGAGCTTACAAGCGATACTTGTACAGGATGTGGAAAGGATGAAGTTGCCCAAGAGGCGATGCGGCATGCTTGGAGCAGTCCGCACCTGTCTAGTCTAGTCCGCAAAGTTCAAACGCTCTGATGTCTATAGAGTAATAGACAACACATGTTTAGAAGGAAACTGCAGGCAATCCGAAGCCCAATGCGGGCATAAAGAAGAGTGCAGTCAAACGCGCGCACTGAAATACTTCTCTCCTCCTCACCATTTACGAATCGCAAGAATACATCAGACGATTCCATCCACATCCGCTTGAGACCAAAGCAAATTCATCACGTGCGTACCTCAGGTTCCACAACAGGGGCCACGATCGTCTCGTTGTCAGCCATGTCTCCTGGTTTCTTCTCTCCTTCCTATACAATGCGTATTCCACTTGAAGAAGGAGGAATGCAATTTCTGAGTGACAATGGCACCAGAGTGCAGTTCGCGTCGAAGAAAATTACGGCGGGATTGAGCACGATACCCCGCGCAGCAACAAATCGCTCACTAGCAGTGTCGCAAGTGAGTGCGCGTCGATGGTAGAGAAGGATCACCTCGTTGAAAAACAAACGAGACGAGAGAATCGAATTCGATGCGAGTAAAGCGTTGAGGAGTAGACGGAAGGCGGGAATGCCGTTCCTGATGGGGTGAAACTTACCGCCGGCGACAGGAAGCAGGAGAGACTCTTGACGGGAAGGACCAGGAGATAAAGACGCGATATACAGCGGATACAAATACTTGAAACGAGATTTCTACTTTGCCAACGGTCTCTTTCATAAATGCAGTGGTAACATCTGCGAAGCATCTCAAAGGATCGCGTCCGCTGATTTTTTCAAACTGATGTCCTTGAACGGACCCGATCACGTGCTTGCCAAGCAATCGTGCAACGGATCCAAGAGTTTGAAGGGGTAACGCTCGTGCATACCTCATTCATTCTTTCAGTGACCAAATGACTCTTTGCCAACTTGCAACATTTCGTTGAATAGTGATTCTTGACTACTGTCTTTGAATTTGACCGTCCACTCGAAAATACATGATGGTGTGCAAGAAATAAGATTTTTCCTGGCAAATTACCATTCCTCACATTGACAAGAACATTGTATGAACTTGTCAGTAACTCAATTTGTAACTTGAAAACAGTTGATAAGAAAACTTGGAGGAACAACTTTACTACCAAAACTTTGGTTATTTCTTCAATATTGCAAAAAATTTTAAAATTGGAACATTTTTTATTTAACGTTGGAGACTATTGCACAAACATCCAACTTCCAACAAGCATTGTTGTGGAACGCCTTCATAAAATAATTTTCTGAAATTAATTATACGGCCTAGGATGTGAGCAGTATGAAAGAGTCCTATGAAAAAGTATAACTACTTATAGAGACATGGAAAAACACCAAACCTGCTAAATAAACATCCATACTTCTTTTTTCAGACAAAAGATTTTTGAACTGATGATCCATCTACAATAGTTTGTTTTTTACTCAATCTGATTACCATAGAAGTCTTATAAGAAACTAATATATATATATATATATATATATATATAATATCATATTTCAACGTACTTAACATATGTATCTTTGTAGATACATATGTTATAAATAAATAAATGTTATACAGAAATCTTATATTTAGGTGATAGTCTACTAAATTTTGATGTCTAACATCAATCAACTTCAGTTTTAATAAATGATAAAAATTGACAAATTTCAACTTTTATTGTTAGTGCACAGTGGTTGTTTTCCATCAACTACAAGATGGACAAGAATGGTATCTACAGTTGTATATGGAAGTGATGCCCACCTGATAATAGTAGGGTGATAATAAGCTATCACTACACGAAGAGACTCATGAGTTACTAATGATACACCTAGAATAAATTCTAATTAAACGCAATACAGTTCAGAGGTTTTACATAGTGTATACTGCTGATGCTTAACTTTTTCTATGTAATTTTGTGTTGTTATATCAATGGATCTGCAGAGGATTCCAAGCATAGCAGATGCAACTCCAAAGGCAATACAACATTCATTGAAGCTTGTGGTCTTGGGAATTATATTGCAAGGTAGAGATTGCATCAGTGTGCGTATTATTCAATCCTAGAGTATTCACTCACACGACGAAGTCACGATGACGATGTCATTGGTAATGGTGACTGATCCTAATTGTCACGAGTATTCTAGACTTAGTTATTATCACGGACTCAACGATCTTTCCCTTGGGGAAGATGTTACGGATCCGATGGTGCGGAATCGTACAGGTGCATCTCCACGAAGACAAGACCTCCTCACTCAAAATACTTTCATTTCTTTTAGCTGTTACACTTTGCATAAAGCATTCATCCTTTAGTCTAGTGGAAGTGGGCTTGAAGGGAGGATTTTTCCAGTCATTTGCCACAATGTTAGCTCCTCATTTGCTGTCTTGAGGTAAAGTGGGAGTTCTATTTATCCTGACAAGAACATAGAGGTGAATATAGTTTGTCAATTATCTGCATTGGAGTTACAAATGAGGTTTTCCGTTCAGTTATCATTAAAAGCTGACATACTCAAAGAAAGATGATTGGAACACAAGAGAACAAGGTTCGCGTGAAGATGGTTGTTTTCATTTCAATCCTTGCTTATGATAATCGTTGTGTGATATTTCAGAGGATAGCATTTGCGTACTTCGTGGTCTCTATATGCGAGATCTGAAATCCCTCAAGACTTGGAAATTCTCCAACTCGTGTATCTCTTAATCTGTTCAATATGTACGAGTGCCAGAAGGAACTCGTAAGGCTAGTTTTCAGTAGTTCGTTCCTTCCGCTAAAAGGATGCTACATTCCGGCCAATTTCAAGTTCTCTCATACTTGTTATTTCTTTTTATTTACGCTTTCATCGTATTGGCAGGTTGTTGCCGGTATTCTCTCCACACTTTATTTGATAATTTTATATGGAGTGTATGTTCCTGATTGGTAGTTTGTGATAGCTTCAAGTCAATCTCAATAGTTTGCGAAGTTATGGATTTTAGGTTTTGCTTTAGCTAAGAATATATCAAATAATTTAAAGTTCAACATCGATCGTGTAGTGTAGGCTTGCATGCATATTAATTGATTTACATATCGTAGAATTATTTTTAAATCGATATAATAATAAATATTTATCGAAATGGAGTATAATGGTAAAGATCCGATTCCACGAGTAAAGAAAATCAAGTATTGTCACAATCAACAATATATCTTGAAATTTTACTTCTTAGCCATATGTCATTTGCAGAAGACATTGCAATGGTTAAGGCCGAAAGCATCGCATTGCAAGATGAAATCACACTGAGATCTAGAAATTGTCCAATCAAATCCTACAAGAACCTCACGCAACTCTGCAATTGTAGTGGGGGAGAGGAATTTTCAAGGTATACACTCAGCTGACTGCATCGAGCTTCCAATGACAGATTTGCTTAAATCTTGAACTATGCTATGCACTACTCATAACATTCGAATCAGACTCTCTACTTCATATGCGGTATCTTTGACAAACTTAAGTAACTTGCGCACGGTGACAAAACACACAATTCCACAAACATGTGGAGGAATACAGACTGAAATTTGAGAAACTAACTAATGGAAATGCCTACTCGAAGGCAGAGCCTTGGATCTCTTTATTCATAACTAATTCACTGAGATGTCAATGGCTGTGATGCGAGCTCCCAACAAGCGTTGTGCCAGCTGACCCGGCAGCTGCCACGCCAGTTGAATTTCTATCTACTCTTATCATACGCAGAGCAGTCAAAAATTTCAATGCCAAATTTTGCTTCGTCTCCTCCAAATCCGAGATGAACGAATCTAACTTCCTAGCTAACTGTTGATGTTCCCCTACACTACTAGCGATCAATACTATTACACAACGCTCGAACTCTTGCAACTTCATCCACTTGAGCGTCTGAATCTGCCACTCTACATAACCACAAAGACATAAGTTTACCTTCTCACTCAATGTCTCATTCGTCTGACTCGCTAACTGCTGATTCTTGGCCTCCACCTACAGTAGTTTAGCGTCCGTCGCGATCAACTGCTCCTCAACAGCTGACAGTTGAGATCGCATTTTGTTTCAATCGGCATCCAACTTTTCACTTTACTCCAACTCCAAAGATCTAGCAACTTCACAATCTGCTAACTCCTTCGCTTTCGCCGCTAATTCGGTTGCATGCTGTTGATCGCGCTTCGCTAGATGTGCAATCAGCTCATCCATGCGACGAGATTCCTTGTTGAAGGCCACTCTAGACGCCTCTTATCTGTTCTGAAGATCGACTGTCATCTTTCCCGCATTCTCAATGTTGAACCGAAGGCTCGTGCAATCACGCTCCGACGATGTCCAAAGTTACTTCTCCACGGCTAAACTCTTCCGAAGTTCAGCACACTCCGACTCCAACCCCTTGAAGTCAATTTTCCTTCTCCTGCAGAGTAGTCCTCATCGTTGTGCACTTAGAAATCAAGTTCACCACTCTCTCGGCCGCCTCTGCAGATGCTTTTACCTTCGCGCGCATCATACTACGCACTAACTCCACGTAGGATCCCACAATTGATGGCTCGGCGAACTTCTCCAACTTCCCATTTAGGTACATAAGCAAGAGAATAACTTGCTCACTCAACATGTCTGTTGCGCTAAGTCTGGCCGACTTAGGTTTTTTGGCCGAAGGATCTTCGTAATGATCAGATTGACTGTGCTCGAAATCACCTAAGTCGAAGCTGTCGGCTCTGGCTCCGCAAGTACCTCCAAACTCACCTTCTCCAAAGGCATGTACTCAAGGAGTTGATCCGAAGATCGACGTCCTTGGCTTGAGGTCCCCACTCCAGTGTCACCCCCTTGCTAATTTGCTTCCTTCTGCAGATCTTCCGCTGATACTGCTGCAGTTCTTCACTCTAAAGGCCCTCAGCCAAAGATCTCTCTTCCTCCGTGCTTGCAACCTCTTCTTTCTATCTCCGTCCAATCCGCCAAAGTGATCCAGCCTTGCGATGTAGCTTCATTGCACTCTGTGCTTCCTTCTTACTCATTCGGCCGTCGTGTCGCCTTCATCTTGCTATGCTCACTTACATTCACTGACCTCAGCTTTGTGGGAACAAGCCTTCAAACTTGAATTCCATCACGATGATCAGTCGTTTCCGAAATTGCGGCTCGATGTAATTTCCTCTTCTTCTACAGCCGTTCTTCAACCTCGTCCCCTAAACTGTCAACCTTGGCCGAAGGCAACGCGAGCTTAGTGTTATACTCCTCGCTGTCAATATCGTTGCCGCCCAGCATCCCATACTCGTTTGTTGTCTCCGTCCGCAGCAAAAATCGTTCCTATTGAGCTTCGGTCAGCATATTCATACCTCTGTAGAAATTGATGAAGAATGGGGACAGGTAATTCACTAATCCTCAAATGCTTCACTAATGTGTTAGCCAGTAGTGAACCATATGATGCACGTTCTGTGAATACGCTTTCCTGTTAGCGCGCGCTCGACAAATCCGACGTGCCATGTTGCCATTTAGGTCGTACGCGAGGACAAAAGGATCTATATCAGGGCCACTGCCACATTCCTTTGCAGTCGATCACGATACCCTATAGTTTGGTACCCGTTCTTGCCTGAATGCGAGTTTTTGAATAGCGGTGCATATGTCTACTCCTCCGCTTGAGTCATTTTCACACTTTCGTTATCGAAGGTGAGATCTCCAT